AGAGATTACTTAATAATAGAATCTTAAAAGAAAGAAAGAAAATTAAGCTTAATGAAGCTTAATGAAGTTAATGAACTTGGGCCCTTTTGGGTCCTGGAAGATACCCTAGCAATTTTGTATTCGTGATTTTTTTTCTTCTTAAAGACACCCCCCAAATTGTAGTTTCGGCTCAACAAAACCCCTAAGAAGGAAATATGCTACTTAGTCTAGCGCCCTCTAGAAATGCCACAAAAGTGTCAGTGACCTGCTATGTTAGCTATTTCCAAGTTCAAATGACCAGTCTTTGGCCACCCTTTGAGTTTATTAAATTATATCAATAAGACCAGTAGAAGTAGAAGAGATAATGTTCAAGTCTTTACAGTCTAAGCAATAGACCTTCCTTTTATGCCAATATTTAGGAATTCTTTCCTCCTGGTTCACTATTGAATGTAGTTAAAGTTAATATTTAATTTCTATTTCTGCATAACAATTAGAACCTTCAGAAGCAGTTACAAGTGAGATGTTAAATAGAACTATTTTGTATGTTTGTTGCATGTTCATGCTCTGGAAATATGCTATAGAGGTCAAAACCATGAAAACCTTGATTTCTATTTAGAAGGAGATTTATCATTATTTATGAGATATTCCCAGTATGATTTCACTTTAAAACCACAAATAAAGTTTTAACAATGGGCATTTTTCTTGTTGAGAGGTCTGTGGTCAGACCAAACATCTCTCTGAACCTGATTAGGTCCTGGGGTTTTTAAATTCAATATTCAGCAAATATGGAGCATTTGTTAGGCTGTAAGAAATAATTAAGAACTCCAGAGCTACTGCAGTTCTCCTGAGTCTGCCCCTCTTTTCTGATGATATGATAATCGGACCTAACCTTGTCTGGTCTCGGTCCTCACCGTGTATGAGACTGGGATAGAAGACTCACATACAATTCATTTTGAGGATTTAGGTGACATTGCTTTAGGTTTTTACATGAGCAAGCCCTTTGTTTGCTAGTACTCAAGTAATGGAAATTTAAATATTATTTAATGTTTTATTTCTTCTTCCTCATTCCCAACTATCCTGAATCCAGAAAAACAGATACGTGGTATTCTGTGAAGACAAAAGAACATTGAACAGTACATTATACAACAGCCAGGACGGTCCACTGTGTATTCATTCTTGTAAAGGACTGCTGATGGGTAAATTAGCATACTTAGTTTGAATCTTTATAAAATAGAAATGGGATTGTTCTAGCAGTTTCACAGCGTGCAGAGCTACCATCATACTCCACGAACGATCTGACTCAAAATAATGCAAGGCTCTGAATAATTGGAAGGGGAAATGTTCTATAAACAATTCACATGGGTTAGGTACCTCCACTGACAAGATATATTTAACAAAGTCTAAAATTCACTTTTCCCAGGGATGTGTGGGTGGCTCAGTTGGTTAGGTCAAGTCATGATCTCGAGGTTCATGGGTTCCGGCCCTGCGTAGGGCTCTGTGCTGACAGCTCAGAGCCTGAAGCCTGCTTCCAATTCTGTCTTCCTCTCGCTGCCCCTCCCCCACTTGTGTGTGCACACAGGCATGCTCTCTCTCTCTCTCTTAATAAAGAAACATTGGGGCGCCTGGGTGGCTCGGTCCAGTTGAGTGTCCGACTTCAGCTTAGGTCATGATCTCATAATCTGTGAGTTCGAGCCCTGCATCAGGCTCTGTGTGGACAGCTCTGAGCCTGGAGCCTGCTTCAGGTTCTGTGTCCCTCTCTCTGCCCCTTCCCCACTCACACTCTGTCTCTCAAAAATTAATAAACATTTTTTTAAATTTTAAAAAAAGAAAAAACAAAAAGTAAAGAAACACTAAAAAAAATTTAAAATTCACTCTTCCTGTACAAACACAGTATCACTGTAATCCTATGGACTGCATTTACTTCCTTAGGACTGAACTTTTTTCCAATGATAGGCTTAAAATAAAATATGCAGAAGTCATTGAATTGTTTCTGTAGCACTTTCATTGCTGGAAGGGACCTCCAGAGGTCACCTAGTTCATCCCATCTCCAGCCAGGACTCACCCTAATACTGAATATAGCTATATAGTGATCTGCATTAAGAAAGCTTTTAAAGATCCCTGGGGTTGGTCAAAAAATAGCTAATATTGGCCTGATTCATAGAACAACATAATACATATGTCAAAACAGCCACCCTCATCAAGGAAGATATCCATCAGGGTTAAGTGCTAGCCGTAGCTTCAAACGGAAAAGCTTTATTTTCTCAGAGAAAACGGGCGGGCGGTAGATTAAGGAAATGACCAAGCGTGTTGGTATTTATTGTTGTTGTTGTTTAGGTATACCTTTAATGCTTATCAAAAGGGAAACATGGTCTTGTCAAAGACCACTGCGGGGAAGCCCTGAGGTGGCTAGAGCCAGGAGATCACACTCCTGTAACTAGTCCTTTCAAATAGCTACAAAGCTGGGAGTGGAAGGGTGAGATGGGGCTGTTGTGTCAAGATCTGATTAGCATCAAGTCAATGAAGGGCAGATGGTGAAACACAAGAATAATATTGACAATCTGAAACTACTATCATACTGTATGTTAACAAACAGGGATTTAAATAAAACCTTTAAATAAGAGGGTGAAACTGTGAGGAAAAAAAAAAAAGAAGGATATTGACAGGCCTGCGTTCTAAATGATCTCTTTTCCCCCTAATCAGCTGAGTTTATTAGAGCTCATTTTTATTTCAACTCCACTGTGGGTGTGAAGGACAAAAATTTAAGTGTAATTTCAATCTCCTATAACAATCACATCACAGTTTTACAAGGATAATAATCCTCCACAACTGCTTGACTTTCTAAATTATTGGATTAAAGCACGACACTAGGGGCGCCTGGGTGGCTCAGTCGGGTGAGTGTCCACCTTTGGCTCAGGTCATGATCTCGTGAGTTCGAACCCCACATCAGGCTTGCTGCTGTCAGCTCAGAGCCCTCTTCAGATCCTCTGTCCCTCTTCTCTCCCTGCCCCTCCCCCGTGCGCTCGCGCGCTCTCTCTCTCTCTCTCTCAAAAATAAATAAAACATTAAAAAATAATAAAGCACTACACTAGAAATTAGAAGTCTAGGTAAAAGGAGAGCTGAAGTTCTTATCTGGATTGTTTGGGCCTTCATGCTTTTTGGTTGACCTATAGATACAGCTTAGCTATTCACAAAGTGAGGACTTGCCCTGACAACTGTCCAGAGTATCCACTTGGCTTTGTGTATTAATGTTGCATTTTTTCACATACTATTTCCGTAAGGTTGCATGCAAGCCTGGCCAACCAGGAGTGCTTGCAGGGTTAGGAGCTAGGGGTTTGGGGTGAAAATAAGTTTACCACATACCCACCCTCTTGCCAACTTTCAAATTTTGTGCCTGTACTTCTTTCAAAGAATTCCTTTGAAAATATTTCACTTTTAAAAACAGAGAGTCACCGGGGCGCCTGGGTGGCTTGGTCGGTTGAGCATCCGACTTTCGCTTGGGTCATGATCTCGCGGTTCGTGGGTTCGAGCCCCGCGTCGGGCTCTGTGCTGACCTCCAGCTCAGGGCCTGGAGCCTGTTTCAGAGTCTGTGTCTCCCTCTCTCTCTGACCCTCCCCTGCTCACGCTGTCTCTCTCTCTCTCTCTCTCCTAGAAATAAATAAAAAACATTATAAAAATTTAAAAAAAAAAAAAAAAAGAGAGTCACCTCTGTGCTCTCTTATTAGGCCAGATGCTTAGTCTGGGTTACAGGAAGTGGAAAGCCTTTGCCAGCCTCCTTTGTAATTCCTAACTTTGGAAATGGGAATTCAGCCACTGGGAACTTTTTGATATGCAGCTGCCTTTCTCAGACAATGCTAACCCACTAACAGAATCTTCAGGTTGCCTTTTCCTCACCGGAGAACAAGAGACAAAAGAATAAGGAGGCCTTTCTGCGGTGTCTTTTTGGCTTTATGACATTCCCACAGTGGACATCTTTGAGTTAATGTGCAGTCTCCGTATTCACCATCAAACTCAGGCACTTTATGGTACCTCCTTAGTCACTCGAATATTTGGCAGAGTGGATTTTTTTCCTCCCTTAAGCTGCTCAGATAATTGTCTGTTACTTGTTTGTGTAAACAACCTATTAAAAAATTGTTCTTTTTTAAAGTTATCAGTCAAAAAATTCCCAGAGTCAAGAAATTCCAAATTGAAGAAACCCAATTAGCTCTTCAGAAAGATAATGGAAATGAAAGGAGTGTAAGGAAAAACAGAGAGTGGCAGATTCTGTAATTTTTATTACAAAAAAAAAGTTCAAACTCTTTACATGCTCTGACATTCAATGCCATGTAGAAGTTCATTGCAAGCAAACGTTTTAAAAAATATACATACTGTATATATTTACATTCAAGTCTGAGTAATTGGTGTCAAGGTGTAGTTCAGGTTCGAATCTTCACCCATCCTGTGGATTTGTTCAGCTACTAACTAAACAGCGATTGTATCTTCACTCAGGCACATGAAGAGGTAGAAACTGCTTTTTAAAGGAAAAAAAAAACTGGAGTGCAAATGTGAAGATCATCTTTGAAGCAGCTTAGCTACATCAAGGAGGCCCTAACTAGCTTTGGTCATCTCCAGCTGAATACACGTAGCCCGTCCTTTAAATTAAAATCAGAAAAACTTTGGGTAGACGTTCTTCTGAGCACATCGCGCAGGTTGGCAGAGATCAGCAACTCCACCACTCTGCACCCAAGACTTGCATATGACTAAGTTAGGCAACATAGCAGCAGGGCTGGGCTAACAGCCGGGTACCTTTTCCCTGATAAGACACAAATAAAACAAACGAGTGGCTTAAGAGACCTCACATTGATATCTGTACACCCACAGCCTGGAACTCAGAAGCCGACTAAGATATTTCGTTTCCCAAGTGCAACTCCTATCAATTTTTGCCCATGCCTACCTCCATCCCAAACTGAGCTAGTGAGTCTAGATAGGGGCGAGGTAGCCTATGACTTCTGCAGGCCAAGGCTTCTCATTCTCAAGCCTAAACCTCATGAGGACTCTTGGGCCTGAGAAGGGCTCCCTGGGTTCTCGCCAGACTTGGTGGTGCTGGTTCCTGAGAGGGGGAGCTGGAGGGAAGCCACAGGGGTGGCAGAGGGCAGAAGCCCTTCTCGTTCTCTTTTCTTCTGTTTCATCCTGCGGTTCTGGAACCAGATTTTGACTTGCGTATCATTCAGCTGCAAGGAGTTGGCTATCTCGATGCGTCGGGCTCGAGTTAAGTACTTATTGAAATGAAACTCCTTCTCCAGTTCTGTCAGTTGCTTGGTGCTGAAATTCGTGCGGATCGCGCTGGAGGGGCTAGCGGCTCCACACTCGGCGAGTTTGCCTGCAACGTAAAGACAGGGCATCAGTGAGGTGACAGCGCGCGGGCCCAGAACGCGGGCGAGCAGCGGGGCTAGTTAGAATCAAAATCACAGCGCAGGTCCCCCGGGCTCCGGGGACACAAGCTGTGCCAGGTGAAACCCTCCACGGAGAGCTCCTTCCCGAAAATCCTCAATGCCTCAATGGCACACTTTCGGAGCGTGTACTCGGGGCACGCTCAGTGGAACGCGTCTCCTCTAATACTTCGGAACGCATTTCCTTCATAAATCCTAAATCGCCGTCCAGAGGGGCAGCTGCAACGCGCTCCCAGCACAATTCTGCGGAGGCGGCTCCCAACCCCAGCTGCGTCCGTCCAAGGCCCAAGTACTTACTTTTCTTAGGGGCGTTCCTCTTCACTTTCATCCACTCGAAGGTATTGAAGGCGGCGGGGAGGCCGGAGGCCGGCGACGCAGACTTGGGGTAGGAGCCAGGGGCCGGGGACGCGCTCTGGAAGGTCCCAGGGTGGCCGTCGGCTGGCTCTTTCAGACACGCCGGCAAGGGGCCAGGGTCGCCGAAGGCCGCGTAATCCACCTGCCCGCTGAGGAGAAAGGAGCCACCGCCGGAGAAGACGGCAGAGGCGGCGTAGTGGACGTGCGCCCCGCCGTCGTCGGCCGGCCGCCCGAGCGCGCACGGGAAGTCGTACGCCGGCCCCGGCCCCAGGAAGCCGTAGTCCGCGCCCCCTGCCGCGGCAGGTGCGGCGCCCGCCTCGTAGGCGCCCTCCAGGGTGCACGGCGCGTAGGAGGGCGCGGCCGAGGGCGGCGCGGGGGGTGGCGCTGGGGTGGCCGGGGGCAAGGGCGCAGGTCGGGCGGCGGCCAGGGGCAGGCAGCTGACGAAGGCGCCGTCGCCGCTGCCCAAGGGGAAGGCGGGTTGCAGGGCCACGGGCCGGGCGTCGGCGCGGCAGAACTTGGGCGCGAAGCTGAGCACGTCGCCGCCGCCCCCGCCGCTGGCGCACGACACGTACTCCAGGTAGGAGCTCATAATTCCGGCCCACCCGCCAGAGCGGGGGCCCGAGCGCGGGGCCAGGCAGGACCGCCGCGGGCTGCGCCTCTCCGCCTTTGCTCTCTACCCGAGCTGCCTTCGCCGAGCCATGGCGAGAGGGCCGGAGGTAAATAGTGGCCTAATATAGCGGCGGGGGTGGCCACGTGGCGCTGGCCGGCCAATGGGCGCCGGCCCCGCACGGCCGGGGTCCCGACAGGCGCGCTGCTCCAAGCGCCTGCCCCGCCGCCAACTTTGCCAAACCTGCGGGTGGCCGCCGTCCAGCGACCCCCCGGCCGCTAGGAGAGCCGGCGCGGCCCCGGGGCGGCGTGGAGAAGGGCGGGGCGAGAGCGCAGGACGCCTGCCCCCTGGGACGGGTACTGGACGAAGCGGGAGGAAAAAGGCAAGACTAGCGACCCGGGTGAGGACGAGAGGATAGAGAAGCTGCTTCTTCTGGATCGGTGGGTGGCAGATCCCTCGGGGGCGGATGGTGGGCACCGAGGTGGGGAAGGGGTTAAAAAGGAGCGTGGAGTTCGACCCGAGGGCACTGCTCATAGTCCTTTTCTTGCTCAGGGTCCTGTGCGCTTTCGGTTTTCCTGGCACCGGTGTTCCCCTTCTCCTAAAGCTAGAGGACATGTTTACTTTTCCCTCGCTTTCTGCCTCCCGCGGATTCACGGGACTAAATGTTGTGCCGTAGGCGTTGTGTACCTGGGGCAGCACTAGATCTTGGCGTTTAGACTAGATTTTCACGTTACTTCGGCAGATTTCCCATCAGTTTCCGCTCGATTTCCATTTGTGGCGTCATGGTGCGGGCGAGGGCTAGAAAGCTAGGTTTTGATTGGGACAAAAGACCAGGCTTCTGCCTTGCAGGGAAGTTTACCACACTTCCCCCATAACTGGGTTGTCCAAATAAAGCGTCTGCGCTTGGGTGGGGGTGGGGGGAACTCTCGTGCTCCTCTCTGGAAGGCTGGCCCCCGCACCCGGGCTTTGGCTGGGACGCTTGGCTCGAGGGCGCAAAGGCTTCCCAGGGACCCGTCAGATCGCAGAGGTTTGGACGGGCTTGTACCTTGAAGCAATTAAAGCTTCTGTTCCATCAGATAAGTGCTGCGTCGTCTCCTGCGAGTGAAATCTGAGGGCTCACAATGTTAATGGGCTCACGTCTTTCCCTTGATAATATGGTTTTGTTTACTGAGTGTGGAGAGACGGGAAATAAAAGTGCAATTGGCACAGGAAATGAAGAGTAGAAAGGTTACGAAGACCGGCGTTACACTGACAAACTTTCCAGCTTCCTTGAACATTTCTTTGGGGCTGCAGGAAAATAACAAAATTATATAAATAAATGTTATTTACACACAGCAGTCATGAGAGAGGGTGGCTTCCTAAAACTGTGTGAATAGGGTCTACTCTTGGCTTATTTAAGTGCCCTTGAGAATTTCATCTATTATAGCCTCTTAGTTATGGTGACGGAGGTTTTATTATTGTTTCACTGATCCACTTGTCATGAAAGAGCGATTGAGCCCTTGCTTAAAATTCCACTCTGAGGAAGCCTGGAGAATAGAAGCCATCACAGTCCTGGGGAGCCAGTTCCTTACAGGGATGTGAACTTGTGAATAAACAGAGCCACACCAAAAGTGTTCCGCTAGTGAGGCTGAAGTTGAGCCAAGATGGGGAGCAGGTAGGTGGAGGGTACCCGCCTAGGAGTGAGCACAGAGCTAATAGTTCAGACGTCCCTGCAGCTGCTGGAGTTCTGGGATTTGATTGGGAAATGGAATCCCGTGCTGAAGATAGCCCTTCAAACTTGATGTTGATACTTCAGTCTTCTCCTTTAGCCAATCAGATGACAAAGGTGCTAAATTGTTTTTTGAAAGAGAAAAATAGAGCTCTCTGGACATGGTAGAGAAAAATACCATTCTCTGGAAATGGTAGAGCTCTTCACATCTAGCTCAGACTTCAGATGTAGAAGCGCTTTTTTGCTGTCCCCCACTCCCGTCTCCATACAAAAATATCAGCAACCCAGGTGCTGCTGAGTTCACGTAACACCTCTTGTGCCCCTGCCCCTGGCTAGACTTTAAGAGCCAGTTGTTGCCAGTAGAATGACCCAGTGTGCACACCCCTGTCTCAATAAGTGTTTCTCTCTCTCAAAAGGGTCTCAGTTAATCACAATTCCTAGGCCCAGAAGCCCCAGCAGGTCAAGAAGGAGGATGGCCTTGTAAACCTTTCTGGAGAAGACGTCCAGAACGTCTGCAACTCAGGACATAGGACCAAAAGCTCAGTCTGATTGCCTGGCAGATCTGACCCAAACCTATCACATTAAGGGCCTTTGCTCTAAGGTTTCAGGAAAACAGGCAGCCTAGGTGCCTTGGCAAAAACTTCATTGCAGCAGACACCAGGTTTCTGCTGCAAAGCACTTGGGGCGCAGGTTGGGTCCTTCCTGTCCCAATTAAGCATTGACTTTGATCCACCCATAACTTTGTCCACACTGTTTCTCTGAAGCAGAGTTTTGGAGATTGAATTTTTGCTGGTGGAGGAAATGTTCCAAAAGAGAATGAGATTTTTTTTTAAATTGTGTTGTTTTGTTTTCAGAGCTATGAGTGGGGGGAGGGGTGTTCAGTATTTGTTCAGACCCAATTGCAGTTCTCTGATAATCGCCTACAGAGAGCTACATTCTGTTGGTCCCTCTCTCTACTCCCTTTAACCTCTCAGGCTTTGGCATATCCTACACGTTGGGGCCCAGAGCTGCCATCTCAACTCCTGAGCTGGTTCTCCACTTGCTCAGATTGGAGCCAAGACTCTGGTCATCTCAGACTCAGAGTTAACCTTCCCCAAGGACCTACTGTGTAAGAACATTTTGTTAGGGGAGGTCTAGGCTGAAAAAAAAAAAAAAAAAAAAAAAGGAAAAGAAAAAAACCTCTCAAACCAAAGGAACAAGGGATTCATTTCTGGCCCGGGTCTCAACTATGCTATAAATCTACTCCAGAAGAATCTGAATCTATATTTCTCTAAGGAGAGATCGGGTGATACTATTGGAGGAGCTATATGCAGAAAGATGTGAACATAGGATATTTTGCATAACTTTAAAGTTTGTCTCCTAGATGTTCACAGAGTATGGGAGAAATGGCTTACTAATTTTATTGCTTGTTCAAGTCATGAATTCCCAAGGGTCACTTGCACTGCTGGGTCCTGGTGCTGTGAGTTCTCAGCAGGAGGTGACAGCAGAGGGGCCTGATTGCCAGGTTGTGTTTGATGTAGGAATGCTTTGAAATCTCTCCCATACTGCTAACCAGGGCAGCCACCCTCAAACACCCTCCACCATCCCCCCCCCACCCCATGACAACCTTTGTCTCTTACTCGAACAACAAGCTTTTTTTCCCCTGCAGACAGAAGACAGAAGTGATGGAGGGTGGCACTCTGGTCTTCTGTGTTTGCAGTTGTCCCTAAGAAGCCTCTTGCAACCCTTCTCCACAAGCCTCTTAGTGTTACTCCCTGGAGACGCTTTGAGCACATGCAGACGCTTGGCTCCACAGCTCCAAAGGGTAGAAAGGCTCTTGCTTGTTGGGGTGAAAAGGGGGGAGCAGTGGGCTTTTCTCTCAAGTAAGATTTGTAGTTCTCTGCAGAAGCCTTCAGTCATCCCATGATGGAAGCAGGGGTGAAGGGGATCCTAAGGACAGGAATTCTAAACCTATCAGAAGCCTGATAACATGACCCTCCCTGAGGAGAACAGTTTGGAGGGCTGCGCCTTTCCTTGAGAGCTCTGTGAGTGAAAGGTTCATGGGTCAAGCTTTTGCCTGGCACACAGTAAACATACAAGAAATCCTTGTTGGATAGAAATAAAAATGCACAAAATGGTGTGTTTTTACCATGATGGATATTGGATAAAGGATATCTTTAGATAATTGGCTCCCCAAACCAATTCATGTGGGTGGGAATCCGTGAAGCTTTTTTTTTTTTTTTAAGCTTCTTTAAAAGTGCAGGTCCCTGAGCTCACCCAAGAGATTTTAATCTAGTATGTCTGACTCCAGTAGGAGTTTTAGTAAGTCTCTTGAGTGATTCTAAAGCAGGGTTCTTTGGAACCATTATTTTGAGAATTTCTGCTTCTCAGAAATTGAGGTGGGCAGTGTGGGAAGAGAGGGGTAATTCTGTGGGAGGGGCCCTTGGCCAGCATCGTGAGAGCTCATGGCTAGCTGGAACATGGTATACCTCAACAGTGCCCAGAGGCCTCTGGGCAGTAGGGGCACAGAATGTGAAATGGCTTTCACATTTCAGCTTGGCACCCCAAGTCTAGTTGGGGTAAAGTTTTCGTAAAATATCCTTAAGTCGTAGTCAGTAGAAGTTTCCCAAGTTTTGCTGATAAAATAGTGCTTTGTAGAGACCTGGCTTCGGCTCCTTGCCACTTTCCTAACTTGGCTTTAGGGATGTCAGTAAGGTAGGGAGTGAAAGGGGTTTGTCTCTCCCAGTGTCTTTATATATATTTTTTTAATGTTTATTCATTTTTTTGAGAGAGAGAGAAAGATAGAGCACAAGCGGGGGAGAGGCAGAGAGAGAAGACGACAGAATCGGAAGCAGGCTCCAGGCTCTGAGCCATCAGCACAGAGCCTGACACAGGACTCAAACCCACGAACGGTGAGATCATGACCTAAGCCAAAATCAGACATTTAACCGACTGAGCCACCTAGGGCCCCTCTCCCAGTCTATTTAGAGAAAATTTAGAATATTTTTGAGATAATGGAAAGAAGGAAGGGAGAGGAATGGGAGTCTCAAGAGCCAGCTCTTCTTTCCTTCCACCTCTCCCAATTTGTCTGGAACAAGCATCTGAGCGTCAGGGATCCAGAGGGGATGAAACGCCCCTTGGCCTAAGCTGTAACTCTTCCTTTGATTAAAGATGGACGTTTCATGTCATAAAATGTCAGTACAAGAAGGCCCCTTAGAAATAAGTGACATTGAATCCCTCATTTTAGAGAGGAAGTAACTTCACTTAGAGGTTAAAAGACAAAAATGTCCTACAAAAATAAGGGAGCTAATGTGGGACTCCCAATGGCCCACAGTCTACAAAGAGGAAAGAGTAAAACAGCCCCTCCTTTGCAGTGTGGCAAGGTCAATGCTGAGCACACAGCAGTATTCAAGGAGGCACCCTTGTTTCTGGGAGACCGCACAGCCAGTGTGGCTGACTGGAAGGTTTGCTGCCCTTCCTTTGCAATTTGTTTGCTGAACTGGTGCTCCAGATTTCCGGGGCCCCACCTTGAGCTACTCCAGCAAGAGAAGGTAGAGATGGGTCTGGGTCCCCACCCTCTCCACCCAGCAAGGGTAAAGGATCCCCTCATTTCCTGCTGAGCTCGATCCCTGGGGGATCAAAACAAGAGATGTCTTTCTGAATAGTACAAATTTAGGACAGTGTGTGAATACACACAGGTACCCAGATCAGTTACATTTGTACTAATCTTTTACTTTTTTTTTTTTTTGCTCCTTTATTTTTTAAATAGGTTATACATTTAAATTTACATGGTTCAAGATTCAAAGGGTACAGCCAGTCGTATGCAGTGAACGTCTTACTCCCATCACCTAGTTCTCCTTCACATAAGCACCAGCTATGAGTTTTTATATATCTTTCCAGAGATACTTTATACGTTTCTATCTATAAATCCCCCCACATTTTTGGGGGCATAAATGATAGCATATCAGAAAGACTCTCCTGCACCATGCTTTTTCCCCTATTGTATCTTGAAGGAAAATGATTTCATATAGATGCATACAGAAGTTCCTGGCTTATTTTTACCACTTTGCGCTGTTCTGCTGTACACACCTACCACAGTTTATTTAACTAATCCCCTGTTAATAGATATTTAGCTCATTTTCAGTGTTTTCCTATTACAAACGCATGTTCAAGTTTTTAACCTATTAGAAATCCCCAGACATGGAATTACTTAGTCAAAAGTATGTGCACTGGCAATCTTGATACAAATTGCCATATTGCCCTCCTTAGAAGTGAATCAATTTATGCTTTTGCCAAGTCAGTGGGATAGTAGAGTTTTTTATTCTTGCGGATCTGATAAATAAAAAATAATACCGTTTACTTACCCTTGTAGCATCTCCAAAAATGTCATTCTTCCTTATCATGTTTGATCCTTTCATAATTGTATTTTACAAATGGTAATACTGACATTACAGAAAAGATACTGTTTATTGTTATCACACCCAATGTAAATGCCCAAGGTCAGATGTTCAACACTCTTTCCTATATTGCACTGTGCCACAGGGAAGCCTAAGGTTCAAAGACAGTGGGTGGCTTCAAGCATTCCCTGAAAGACACATGATATAAAAAAGCTTTCTGACATCTGCTAAGAGGCCTCCTCTTTAGTGGTCTGATACCAAGACCACATTTCTGCATGTGTCCCTGGAGAGTACACTCCGGAAGCAGAGGAGCTCTAATTAGCAATATGATCTGACCTAGTCCTAAGCATTAGCCTGTATTCAATATCTGAGAAGCAGTAGGTTGTTGTTTTTAATTTTCCTGAGACTTATTTCTCACTGGCCACCCAGGACCTAAATATTGATCAGCATGGGGTGGGTAAGAGTATATTTTCCCTAGGTTTGCCTACAACTCTCACTTAGACCTCGTGGAGATACCTGGTGAAGATAATACACACACACACACACACACACACACACACACACACACTACTCTACTGATAAACTTATGAGGTAGATATCTATAGACTGTTTCATTGATGATGCAACTGAAGGCCAGAAAGATTAAGAGAATTGTTTAGGGTCATACAATGTATCAGCAAAACAGAAAACACAGTGTAGACCTAAAACGGGACTTCCTGCAAAGTCTTCTCTTCCCCCTCCTGTCTTCATTTTAATGAATGACCTGACTACTTTATCAGGGCCTCTAAATAGAAGCCTAGGGATTAACATCCATAACTCCTCTTTCACTCATCCAATTAACAGCAAGTCTCGTGAATTTGTCCTCCTAAAAGTCTTCTTCATCCTTGTTACCTTAGTTCCTCTCTAGGCTGGATTATTGCAGCAGCTTCCCCTTCTTTTTTCCTTCTTGCCTCCTACCTCTCTTCCAATCAGACAGTATCCCAAAGAGCAAGCTTTCCAAATAGATAAAGGCATGTCCCAGCTTAAAACCTTCAGTGGCTTCCCACTGCCTGCAGATTAATTCCAGACTCCTTTCCATGAACCTCATACAACTTCTTTTGCCAGCCAGATGCTCTACTCCCAACTCTCTTTGTTCCAGGTCTAGACCTTGCTCTTTCTTCCCTCCCTGCTTTGTGTGTGCTGCTCTTTCCACCTGGTATGTCCGTCCTTCCTAGACCTGAAAAACTCATACTTCAGGAATCCAAATTCACCCCCTTTGAGCAGCTTTTTTTGTCACTACACTTGTGTTAGTGGCTCCTTCTCTTTATTCCAGGAACCTTTTGGCCACACCTCTGATCTAGCATCTGTCACACTGTTTTATGATTCTTTTTCTTCCCCAGTAGATCAACTATACACTATTAGTGACCTATTTTTAGATCTCAGAGTCCAACACAGTGCGCACAGGAGCTGATCAGGAGATACTGCTGAAAGGCAAGGATCGAGAGACAGACTCTGAACCAAGGGCAAGAGAACCAGTATTTTAATTGCTTAACGAATTCAGGACACTGTGCAGGACCTAATGCTACTGCTTATATCTTTATAGAGTAAAATGATAGTAGGACATCTCTCCAAAGCAAGTTAACTGCCACCTGAGAGGATGCTGAGAGGAGAGAGAGGGAGGAGCTGGGATTTTCCCTCTTTCAAGGGCTCTTTCCTATAGGCTAAGGCAACACTTATAACTGACTTCAGAAATTTATCAGCTGATGTCACTCAGAAAAAGGGTAAAAGAGAGGGTAGCCTGAAACGTTCTGGAATTTATCGAAGACTACAAGTACCCCTTAGAATGGTTCACCATCCACTTTACCCAAGCCCTCCTGCTGTAAACAGCTCTAGTGCTAATGACCGACCCCCCCCCCCCACCGCGCGCGGTGTTCAGTCTATCCCTTCATGGTATTTATAAAATGAGACCCAGAAGAGCTCAAGTAAAAATACTCCAGTCCTTCCTTCACACTAGAAAAGAGAGGAGAGGCATATCATTGTGGTTGGTATTTTAAGTGTATTTTTATTGTTCTTTTTATATGGCATTCAGGTTTAGTTCCAAGTGTAAGAGGGGTGTTACCCTGCTTCCTTCCACATAAATTAGTCCTGCAGGTAAATAAGGGAACTAAACCGGCTCCGCCCGGTCCCTGAATTCTAGTCACTTGGGAATCCTTTTTTAAAAACTCTTAGGGGCGCCTGGGTGGCTTAGTCGGTTAAGCGTCCGACTTTCGCTTAGGTTACGATCTCGCGGTTCGTGGGTTCGAGCCTCGCGTCGGGCTCTGTGCTGACTGCCAGCTCGGAGCCTGGAGCCTGTTTCAGTCTGTGACTCCCTCTCTCTCTGACCCTCTCCTGCTCACGCTGTCTCTCCCTCTCTCTCCTAGAAATAAATAAAACATTTAAAAAAATAAAAATTAAAAAAAAATAAAAACTCTCAAATAGTGTCTGCAAAAACCTTCTGGGATTTTCCTCGTCCCCTTTAGGGGTAGCGCGGCGTTAAGGGTGTGACGGGGGCGGGGACGGGAGGGCGGGCGGGCGTATGCAGAGTCTCGGGGTGTCTGGGGCGGGCGCGGGGGCCGCCTCTCTGGAGAGCCGTGGGCCGCACGCGGTCGGGAGGCGGGGCCGGCAGGCGGCGGGGCGGACCCGGAATGAGGGGTGACGGGCCTCGCGCTGCCGAGCGTGGGGCGGCGGGTCGCGCCCCCCGTGAGCGCGCTCACCCCGCGTGCCTGCGTCTCCTCTGCTTGCGGTTTCTGGTCGGCTCCCAGCTGGCCCAGACTTGCTCTGAAGTAGGAGGAACCGCTGTCGAGCGAAAAGTGCACACCGGGTGATTGATGAATTCTTAATAGGACTAACCTCTCCCGCCACCACCGCCCCCGCCACCCTCGACACACACTGAGAAATCCTTCACCCAAGCCCCCTTCCCCAGGCCTCCTCGCGGGCGAGTGGGGACGCGGCCGCCAGCCGGTTGGGTGATTAACTCACCGTTTGTCTTTCGGCAAGTGTGCCAGGTGGACGCAGGCGGCCCGGCCGCGCCGGCTCTCTGCTGGCTGCGCCGCGCTGCGGGCCGGGGAGCGCCGAGCGGGCGCGCGCGTCACATGGTGGCGCGGCCCGGAGCCGGCCTTTGTGCCGCGCGACCGCCTGGCCGCCCGCGGGAGGCGGCGGCTATTGTCCCCCGCGGGCGAGGGAGGTGCTCAGACTCGGGGTCCACGCCAGCCTCCTCCCCAGAGTGTCCCCGCATCGGAGGACGGGTGGGGGCTTCCTTTGTGTGTTTCGGGCCTGCGACGGGGATGGCGCGTCGTGGCTGCCCCAAGGGGCAGCGGACCGGGCTGAGAGAGGTTGGTGCCCGCGCCGCAACTACCTCGAGCTCGGCCCAGCCGGCCCAGTTTCTGCCCTTGCGCAGGAGCTGGGGAGGAATGTGGTATTTGTAGGGCAAGCGTTTCGAACAATAGAGCCATCAAAAGGCCTTCTCCCTGGTCTCCTTATGAGGCAGCTAGGCTCTTCTCCCTCCTTCAGAAAGGCCTCCGCCCAACAGGTCCTCCTGGCCTGGTTTTCGGCCTGCTTTCCCAGCGAAAACACTTCAACTGTACCACCAGGGTTCTCCATGAATCCAAATTTAGGGTCTTCTCCTTGGGCTCTTACTAATGTTAAAACCCGGTTTTCATTATTTTCCAGGTAGTAGTAGTCTTCCATACAAATGATCCAGACTAGCCAAAGGAACCAGTCAAGATATTTTGCCACAAGATCTAGAACAAGAGGATTTATCTAGTATTGCCTGCCTTGCAGATCTCCTAGGGACCTTTCACCTGCTTCTGCTACAGGAAATGATTGGACATCCATTTGCATTTCCTCCTCTTCATGTGTGGAAACTTTTGTTCACTGTGCTTCAGGCTGGACCTGGCCTCAAAGTGGGCCCTTGAATTCCCCATGTACCATTCCGACTTGTCAAGCTGGTTATGAGACCTGAGGGAAGTGTTGAGGCATGGACTTGGTACCAAGTAGATTTACCTTGGTACCAAAGTAAATCCACTTGATACCAACTTTGGGCCCCAAAGACAAGGGCATTTGTAGTTGTACCCGAAGACAAGGGAACAGTGAAAACTAAGATTTCACCCTCTGATGGTCTTCACCACCACCAGTACCCCCAATGCCATAAGTACAGAGGATTCGCCTACCCAAGTCATTTTTCCTCTCCATCCATGACCTCTGCAAGAGAGAGCTAAGTGAGCCAGTGCTCAGAGATGGTGAAGGGTAGGCTAGTGACTCAGTCTCAGCTGTCTGTGCCCCAAATGTCTAGGGAGAAGTTTGCACACCCAGGCAGTAGCTCTGTCCTCTCTGGGAAGTGACAGTGCCCTAAAGTGGTGAGGCTGTAAGCCTCTGGGAACTGGGGCCTCCTGCCCCTCTTTATTTTTATTTAATACACAGAAACTTCTGTTCATCCTTTGGTTTTGTTTTGTTTTGTTTCCCTTACAGTTTCTGAAAGAAGGACTAAAGTAACGCCAAGGACTCCCAGATGAAGAGGACCTTCCTGGATCTGTAACTGGGAATAACCAGTTCTGTACTTGGAAAGTTTCAGCGAATTCTCAGGATAAAGCCAAACAGGCCTGTGACTGTCCCTTGCATAGCGACATTGTAAACAGGCTTCTGGCTCCTCTAGGTCGAGCAGAGAAACACTTTTCATTAGAATGTTGGGTTTCTTCTTTGTTATTCAAACATACACCCACACACATCCTCTTCGCCCTCCCTAATGAAAAACCTCAACAGATGGAGAGCCTAGGCTCCCAAGACTTATGGCTGGGAAGATGCACTTCACTCAAGGGTGTTTGGCTGGTACAGAATGGGGGAGGGAGAAGAAATGAGTAGCGAGTATAGGTAATCACTATCTTTCAATACTCCGTACAGATAGAAATCCGAGAAATCCTGTTCAGCAAGGTTAGCAGCCTCCAGGGCCTGGGAAACCAATTTGGCTGTTGAGTCTCTGATAGGGACTAGGTTTGGGGCTGCACCAGGGGGAAGATACTCACTCTATATTCTATCATTCTCATTTGAAAGCCTGTACAAAGAAATGGTACAAATGGATGGTTAACTTAATGATTCCATCAGAGGCGGATTTTTCTCTGTCAGGTCCCTGGATGAGGCTGAGGTCTGAAAGCCAGGAGGCAGAACATTTACTTAATCGCCCTTTCTTACCCCCTTTCCAGGGGCCAGGACTGCTCTTCAGACCTTTCCGCTGCAACTTCCCCAGACCCCCCGCTAGCTCAGTTGGGTCTCCTTACCCTGCGCCTGGCTGGGACTGAGTTTCTCCTGGTAGCCAGGGCAGGTTCTCCTTCTGGCTAAAGCTTTCCCCGCTCCCACTTCCCATCCTACAGCAGGACATTCCTGCAGCCTCATCCCTCTACCCAGCTTTAATTCACATTTGATGCCTGGACAGAACAACCAGGGGCTCCCAAACAGCTGCCACCCCCATCCATGGGCCTGGGCTTTAAGCCCTGAGCCCTTTCTTCAGGGCCCAAGAGGATCCCCCACAACGTCGCTGTTCCCTCCCCCACCCTCCACCCCCAACCTCCCAGCGGTCTCTACCGGAAAAAGCAGAATTGGTCCAGGCCTGAGCCAGAGAGCCACCTCCTCCCCTGGAGCAGCAAACGAGGTAAACCTCCCAGAGACCAATACCCAAAGCGAAGCCGGGGCCCTTCCCCACCTCCAGGCGTGGGCCCAACGGCGCTATTGTGAGGCCTTTCCCCGACGCAGAGCCCTTGGGGAAGCAGCGCACACAAAGGCGCAGTGGCTCCTGGAAGCCGGGGTTGCTCGGGCGCCCTTAACCTAGCGCCGGACAGTCGAGGCCTTGTGCGCTCCCCCCGTTGTACCCCGTGCGGCCGTCACGGGCCCGCGTGGAGGCTTCCTTCTCCTGCCAACCTTCCCCTTCCCGCTCCAGGCCACACAATCCCCACGTTCCCGGGAAGGAGAGGCACGGGCCTAGGGCGCCATTGCCCAGCCAGGGCTCCCCTCCCCCACTCTCTTCTTTGCTTATCCGAGACCCGGGAGGGAGGAGGCGGGCGCCTCGGCCGATAGAGCAGCTATTGTGACCTTCCCTCGCCGAGCGGGAACCCAACCGAGTGTACCGCTGGCGGGGGAGGAGGCGACTGTCTGTGCAGACCTCGGGGTGCCGAGGGGGTGGTGCTGGGAAATAAAGGTTTGCAACCTTGGGCGCTTGGGCCCTTCGGAAGGCGTTTGGTTATGTTTAGACTCCGGTGCTTCCTAACACTAATTGCAGGCTCAAAAGGAGCAGAATTTATGGCGAGGGCCGAGGCGGCTTGTTTATAATTTATGAATTTTTAAATGGCTGTGCTGCAGGCCCTCCTCTCGCCCTGGCCGGCGGCCGCGCTGGAAGCGCCTCCCCAGGCTCGCCACCGCGCCAGGAGCGACGGAGTGTGCCCATCACATGACACGCCAATGGCAGGAAGGAATCCAAGCTATTCTGAGAAGCCTCCGGGAAACCTTTCACCAAAGGTGAGAAAAAGCCAATTTGTCCCAAGCGAACTCCCCGCCCCATTAGAGAGGGGTGCCTCCGGGCAGTTTCCCGGAGAGGGAGCCCCCAACCCCGCACCTCTTTGGAGCCTAAGTGTGAGAGGAAGCTGATGTCAGCCGGCCTAGACACCGTTTAAAGTCTAATCCATGAAACCCTAAGCCACAGATGACACTTGGGGCCTTGCAGACACCCGCAGACTCAGCACATACTCCTGCGGTAACACACCGCGCTGGAAAACGCCTGGAGCCATAATGCATTATGTATTTTTATTATTATTTATGGTAGGAAGAGGAGAGGAGGGAAAACCGGGCTGAATCTAAACAGCCTGATAATTCATCTATTTAATATTTAGCCAGTTAAGAAAGGTGGTTGTAATCCCTGCAAGGCAGCAAGCTCTTCTTTGACTTCCCTAATAGCTTAAAAAATAATTTCTTACAAGACAATTAGAAATTCTGCCTATGGATGCAAATTTCATAGAAAACCATTTTAAACCTTGAAAATGGGTAAAATCTCCCTTCAGTTGAAGTCATTTATTCTGTTGATACACTTGTACAACATATATACTCTAAACCTGCTCAGATAAAGTGAGATTTTGCAAAAGGATAATCCCTACCACCCCCAATCTAACATGCCATTTTAAAAACAGCACAAAGGAACAAGGGAACTAAATATTATTTGAGCTAGCATTATTTAGCGAAACACAAACATCCAAATAGAAACGATTGTTGTTCCACCAGAAGACTAGAAGTTAAATTATTTCCACACAATGGGAATTTCACCTCATGTCACGGGGATGTAGTAGGAGCTGTATTATTTGTCAAACCAAACAGAGATGCGTGGGCCGACTTTGCTGAAATACAAAAGACTTGAACCTTATCTGAAGGCGCTTTCCAAGTGTCTCCTTCTAGAGAAGCGAGTGGACATTGTCTGCCCCTAGCTGAAGCCAGGCTAATATTTACAAAATGGATATAAAATTTGAAGACATTTTTGCCCGTTTTGTACAAAGAAACTGGAATAAACAAGGTGTTTATACTTGCTGTGTTCCATTAATGAAACTTTTATTACTTTACATCGTGGGGAACGTTTGTTTACTTGAGAAAGGAACCACCAACCATTATAAAGGAAAAAGTCCTGACAGTATTTCCCAGAGAAAAAGCTTAGGTGCGTGTCTCCAAATGATCGTTTCTTTCTGTGCACCTTAGCTTTTTCAGAGCTCGGTTCTTCTTACAACTTCTCTTGTGCCTTTTCTTTGATTGTCAGTTTTCTTTCAAAGTTTATTTTTTATTAACGCAGACACGTGAGAGCTGGCCTCCCCAATGTAAATGCAGCCTTAAAAAGTCGACTTGTGTCTAAAAAGAAGGTGGTGGAGATAGCATAGCAGGCACAGCGCAAAGCCCTACTCAAATTTTCCCACCCAGAACATTGCTGGGTTTGCATCCTCAGATTTCCACCCCCCCCCCCACCAATGTCAATAGCTGCAGTGTAATCAAGGATCTCCAGAACCAAGTCGTATACCAGATCCCGAATAAATGAAAAATAGATCTATCAGAGTCAGCCTATTTGGGGGCCTTCTACTGGGATTGTGCAAAAGATAAAAGGCAGAGCGATCTACTTCCAAGTGTGTTTGATTAACACAGATACACTTCCGACTGAGAAATTTTTTTTATTCTAAATATTTGTTCAAATAGTACCAGACAATTTGAAATCAATAAACTGTGTCGAGTGGTGAGGGCTGCGGCTGTTGAGAAATGAGTAACGGGTGTCGTGCCACGCCACGGGGCCGCCTGACTCTATACCCATGAAGGACAATTTGCGGTCTTAGTCCTTTACAACTACAAACACCAGCCACGGTTACAACTGTTCAAAACTACTCTCTCAACTAGTTCAGACCAAGGGGACTAAAGAGGTGAGACGTGGCCCCCGCGGCCTGGGAGCGCGTTCCTAAGCTCGGCTGGAGAATTCTACAAATATACACATAAATACATTAAGACGAGGATAAATAATCAGGGAAACGAAATGACTCGCTTCAAATAATAAATACGGTCGTTGAGTCCGATGCAATCCTTACGGGACGGGAAGGAGCATATAAATTAAGGTCTCCGCAACTAAGCTAGACGCGGGCCAGGCCCGGGGCTGTTCGGGCTCTGGTCTCTCTGCAGAGGGCACCGCCGATGGATCTCAGACTTACCTTCGGGACACCATTACCAGATTAGAGTCCCTCGGTCCGCAGTATATGGCACTCACTGTCAGGGTTACAGAGGAGAATCCTTGCGGCTGATTTACGGCGAGTCACCCAAAGGAGGGAGCTCCTGGAGCGAAGGCCCAGTCGCCTGCGCCTCGGCCGCTGTTGGCCCGAGACCCAGGAGGCGGCAACCGTGCCAGAGCGAGGGAGGGGGTCACCGAGCTGCCCCGCGGGCCCCGCCCGCCACCCCCGCCACCAGAGCAAGAGAGGTAATTGCGCCGCGAGTTCGGGCCGGTGGCGGCCGCTACAGATGCGTCAGTTTGGGGGCCTCGGGCAGGCGTCCCTGAGACGAGTGGTGCGCCGAGAGATCTGTGTAGGTGGGATGAGGGTCGCACGGTCCATGGTGGTGGTTGCCAGGAATCTGCGCGGCGCAGCTGTAGTCCACGCTGGCCGAAGACGGGTGCGAGAGGTGGCCCAGGTTGAAGACGGGCCCGGACGCGGGCGCCATGGAGTCGACGAAATTGCCACCCACGTACACCGGGCTGCCCTGCAGGTTGGCGCTGGCGAAGCCGCCGCCGTTGCTTGCCATGGGGTGGGGCTCGAACTCGGGCGCCGCGTAGCGCTTCTGCTGTGGCAGGCAGCTGCTGAGCGGCGCCGTGTAGGCGGCCAGGCCGTACATGTTGGGCTGAGATTTGGCGAAGGCGGGCGGCGAGGGCGCGTCGTAGGCCAGGCCGGGCACGGGCGGCAGCTGGCCGGAGTAGGCCACGTGGCCGGCGGCGCTGCCCAGGGGCGGGCTGCGCTCCGGAGACTGACCGGCCGGCGAGTGCAGGATGCCCTTGGCCTTCTGGTCCTTCTTGTACTTCATGCGCCGGTTCTGGAACCAGATCTTGATCTGGCGCTCGGTGAGGTTCAGCAGGTTAGCCATCTCCACGCGGCGTGGCCGGCACAGGTAGCGGTTGAAGTGGAATTCCTTCTCCAACTCCACCAGCTGTGCACTCGTGTAAGCCGTGCGCACCCGCTTGGACGCTGGGCCCGGCGGGCTCTTATCCTCGCAGCTCTCTCCTAGGCAGGAAGGGAGACAGAGGGGACAATGAGCGGGGGGGGGGGGGGGGGGGGGGGGGGGGAGGACACCCAGGGCCGGAGCGGGGTGCTTCCCTGGCTCCCTCCTCTTCCTCCACCCCTCCCCCCACCTTAGCCGGCTGGAATGAGGGAGGGGCGCCTGAGACGTAAGATTCCAAGAGGGACCTCACAGGCCCCAGCCATACCTATGAGTTGCACCTGAACTCCAACCACACCCCCACATTTGCCTTCTGAGGTCCGATTCACTCTGCCGCCCCCTCCCCTCCAGCCTAGTCCATCATCCTGTCCCTAAGGCTAAGGCCGTGGAGGAGTTTAACGAGAAACCAGTAGCAGCTGGTAGGGCCTACCCCCTCTCCCAACCCCCCATTAAAGAAGGAACAGACTTCTTTGAATATTCTTCCCAGCCTCTGCTGGGGTTGGGAGAGGAAGGCAGCCCCAGCTTGCCTTGCTTAGGGGCTGGCTCCTGGGCAAAGCACCCCAGGAAGCATGGAATGAGGATAGAGATCATGGCACCTCACCCAGGCTCAGCTGCACCCAAGGGCTCTGCACCCAAACCCAGGGACGTGATAAGCCATAAAAATACTGCCCCAGGGTTTTAGGGGCTCCCAGGCCAGCCTGGGTGCATTTTGAGTATTGCAGCGCTAGGAGCAGCAGTCTCGACACTGGTTTCCACTACCCCCGCCACCTCTCTGGCTTGTCCACTCCCTCCTTGGTTACACAAATGGATTTCTCCTGGGAGGGAGGGGCCTGCACTTGCAGCTGGGAGGGAGGGGCAGGAGAAGGAGCTTACAGGCTGGAAGGCACTTTACCCCAAGAGCAGCAGCCCCAGAGAGTTGCAGGCAAACCAGAGATTTGGTAACAAGGTAGTTACATCCCATGCCTCAAACTAGCCCTGGACCTGAAGTATATTCATCTACCTGAAGATAAACTGCGTCAAAGGACACAAGGCCGGAAAA